TACATAATCAGTACAAAATATACAGTATTTTAAAAGAGTCACACACTACACTTTTCATGGCCTATATGATTTGTGAACTCCCACTGCAGTTGCCATATTATGAGCCATTGAATAAACTACTTGTGAAATTGGAGATAAATGTTAGGAGTGGCATTTGGAGCATCCTTCAGAACTGTATGGGGGATAAAGAGTAAGGAAACACTTAATTTATGTAAATATTCTTGCTTGTTTAAAAACTGTTTGACTCAACCATGTTAAAGGACTTTAAGGATATCAAATATGTACCCAACGCCAACACATGATGCATCAACTCTGCCTATTTACCAGTAGGAGATCAAGATAATCTCCATTTCTAAATATAGGTTGACTAGTTAAAGGAGATGCTCCTTAGTGACATTAAAATGTGTGTGCGTATGCAAACGCACACATATTTTAATTGCAAAAAATCAAAATACAAAAATCACAACCACGCCAACACATATAGTAGATTGTATCCTAAAGCCACTTTGAGTCTCCTTGTGAAGAGAAAAAGCAAGGTATAAATAAACAGAAGAAGAGTATTTCAGAATTTCTTGCTCTAGTAATTGAGCTTTCAGTTAGTAAAATATAAATATTGATTCAGTAACCTGGTGTGGTTTGTTATTTTTCCTTCAATTCTATAAATGCTCCAAAAATGGGAAATTCTGAAATTTTCTCAAGACTGCTTGAATAGGCACTAATCCTACATCTTTATTCTTTGCTACCAGCACAGAAACAGTTCACTGAACTAATTTATTAACATATATTGTTACCTTGCCTTTATACTTATAACCTTTTGGAACACTGAGTGTGCTTCATGTATTTTATTATTCTTTTTTATTCTTTTATAAGCTGTATCATCGGTGCTGTCCAGATATATGCATGTAGTAGCATTGTCACTACTAGAGTGACATTGGCATGGAGTGTGTTTGCTGGAGAAGGAATATAGTTTCATAGCAATCCTTTCATAATTTGGATGCTATAAAACTACAGAATAAAGGGAGGAATTATGTAATTTGGGCACCATGACACTAACAAATATTAATAACTTGTAATCATTCCTCAGAAAGTTGATCATCTGTGCTATCCTTAAAATGAATGAATTAAAACTAAATATCATTTAAGAGAGACAGAAAGACTACTAATAAGAATCTGAAAGGCTTCCTTTTCCGTACCTTTCTGATGGCAGCTTTATTATTGGTGATAAAGTTTTGAAGTATTCTTATGTGTTATTACCTGAAGCTTGCAGTTTTATTTTGATCAATAGATAAAGCAGGTTTACTGGTTTTTATTTTGTGTGAGCAAGTTATGTTTAGCTTTGAGAAGAAATAGCCATCTTAAAAAATCTGATACCATGTGGAAGGTGGAGCAAGCATGTTCTCTAGTGATACAAAAACTTGAACTCGAATCGGTGAACTCAGATTACAGGAAAAGAGATTCTACTTAGAAAGAGCTTTTTTACATGAGAAAGAGTTCTTTTACTATAAGATGTTCAGCAGTGCAGTGCATTGTCTCAAAATGAGGAGGACTCGCTTTCCTTGGAGTTCTTCAGCCAGGTTGAATGGACATCTATCAGGAATGCTTGAGATATGTTTCCTGTATTTTGAACTGTTGAAGGTAAAGCAATAAAACACCAAATTACTGAAGATTGAATTACTAGAGCAAGAAACTCTGAACAGGGTATTGAACTGAATGGTCCTTGTGGTTGGAGTTTCTTTGCTAAACTGAACATAAATTACTTTTAAAGACAAAGGTTGTTTTTTATAGGCTCAAGCTCAAGATATTGTTCCCACAATAGGATTTAGTATAGAAAAATTCAAGACCTCAAGGTAAGACTTCGCTTTGGATTTTTTTTTCTCATCTGTATTTTCTAATCTAAATCCAGTTGCTAGTCCTAACTAGAGTAGACCTACTGAGCTATGCCTCTTTACTCAAAGAAACTCCCTTCTGTTCAATGGGATTTAATATTGTAAGTGTAAGATTGCACCTTAAGTATTTTCATGAAATAGTGGTATAGTACTCAGAAATAAATGCCAGTGTGTTTTGTCGGGGGTAGCAATTATATATACCAGCAGTTCTCAAAGTATACTGAGGGGCTCCACGCTTCCCTCATCTTCCTCCCCCTCCAACCTTTCCCTCCTGTTTCCTGTGCCTCCCCTTACATCTGCCTCCCCGCCCAAACCAAAAGCCTTTTTTCCTCACCTCCCTTTCCACCCAGATCCTTTCCTCCTTGTCTTCCTTGCTGTTGTACTCCAGAGCTCCAAAATAGCAAGCAGTTTATTGAGGGCAATATAAGCCAAAGCAATAAAAAGTAATCAACAATAAAAGGTAATCCAATTTATTAGGAAGAAATATGAATAATTAGTCCAAAAAGAAATAGTCCAAAAAGTCCATGAAACTAGATACTTGATTTCAAAGGCAAATAACATCAAAGGCACTTAATCCATGAATCAAACAAAGGCTAGAGTCCAAAACTTGGCATGAAGAACGTAACATGGATCCAACATTGCTTCGTCTGAAGCCAAATTCTGTACTTGGCACTTATATCCCTGCCCTATTTCCCAAAGATCCAGGAAAGGATTTTTCGTTAATTTTGGTTTCACTTCTAACTTCCGCTGTAATCTAGCTGAGCACCGTAATTGCTGACCTGTTTGTCTATGCTAGCTAAAAACACTTCTTCTGTTCAACGCTTCCTTGCTTTTCCCTTCATGGAAATCTCCACCTGGAGATAACTGACCGGGGAACTGCGGCGCAGAGCCTTTCCCAAGCTCAAGACCTTGAGAATCCTCTTACAGCAATACAGGCCTCTCTTTTTTTTTTTTTTTTGGTCATGTCAGGAACGACTTGAGAAACTGCAAGACACTTCTCGTGTGAGAGAATTGGCCGTCTGCAAGGATGTTGCCCAGGGGATGTCCGGATTATTTGATATTTTACCATCCTTGTGGGGGGCTTCTCTCATGTCCCCACATGAGGAGCTGGAGCTGATAGAGGGAGCTCATCCACCTCTCTCCGGATTCGAACCTGCGACCTGTCGGTCTTCAGTCCTGCCAGCACAGGGGTTTAACGCACTGCACTACTGGGGGCTCCTAATACAGGACCCCTCATCTAAACTGCATTCAGACCCCACATCTCCAAAATCAGGCCCAGGAAATAGACCATTATCCCCATTCTCTTCAGGAACATCGTCATGGACAGCATCCCCATTTCACTCAGCAAAATCAACTTGAACATGAACATTGTTGTCATTCCCATCATCCAAAGCAACCTGATCATCAGACATGATCACAGGCTGACATACAACACTTCCTCCCAAAACCCTATTTCCCTCCCACTGCTCAGGGGATGCTTTGATTGTGGTTTTTCTGCATGGCAGAAGAGCATTGGACTTGATGGCCCCTGGGGCCTTCCATTGAAATACTGTTTATGTTGGTTGCCTGATATATATGCATTATATATAACATAATATATAAACATTTCTTGGGGCTGCACGAGAAACTTTTGCCCTGCAGCTGAAAAAGTTTGTGAACCCCTGATATATACAATTGTGAAATTAAATATTTTGCCATTCTAATTTTCATCTTCTATTTTTATTTATAGTTTGTCATTCACTGTGTTTGATATGTCGGGTCAAGGAAGATACAGAAATCTTTGGGAGCACTACTACAAGTAAGTGTTTTGATTATAAGGCTTGCATTTGCACTATGTAAACACATAATATGGCAGCCCTGGTTTCACTTAACCACATCTAACAAAATATCCCCTCTCTAGAATTTTCTTAGGCCTCCCAGGCAATTATATGGTATAATCATCCAGAAGTTACCATAGAGTTGCCCTGGTGGTTCTTGAGAATTCCTAGAAAATCCCTTTAAGAATTTTCTCAGTCCTTCAGGGCAATACTGTGGTAACTTTCAAACAGAAACAGAAACAGTAGAGTTTCATGTTTCCACAGTAAGTTAAGGAATGTATCCTCTGCAGATATGAGGGGCATATTGTATTCAGAAACTAAAATTATATAATATTTTATTTATGAAAAATACTTGGTTAAAATAGTTGTTGTGCAATATGATAAATATGCCATTACTTGACTATAACTGTTTTTTAAGACTTGGCCAAAAGGAAAACAATATGGAATGCTTTGAAGTTCTAATTTCCAACATGAAAAAAGTATTCTTGAATATAGCCCATGTTTAAAAACACTGTATATTCCCCAGGAAAAAATGTTGATAATATAAATATTGCAAATCAACAAAAGATAATTTTTAGGATGTATAAGACAAGGCCAATTATCCATTCTGTGTGCCTGTAGAATGCATCCTTTTATTCTACTGTGGCTTTGGCATAATAGAAAAAGATCGAGAAAATGTTGCATTTGGAATTGGTCTAGAATTTTATATATATCATGTAATATATAATATATATTATATGAAAAACTGTTAACTTCCAGTTTGCTAGTAAAACTGAATTACCGTGTCACAAAAGGATGCATGTCTAAAAAGTTTATTGCCAACATGAAAAGTTTGGAAAGCTCTGTTTTATAGACTTCCATAGGAAAGGTAAAAAATCTGATATCAGAATTCTGTACATAGTTTTCTAATGAATTTCCATTAAAGTACAGTACTTCATGAAGAATCCGACACATCATTAAGAATCCACATATATATAATTCAATTTAGGGATTCCTGTGCAGATTGGAAGATGTATACAGAATATTCAGTGAAATCAAAACACTGAGGATTATTTTTAGCTTGAATGCACATTTTCATTATTTTATTCATCCCGAAAAACTATTAACTTGAATATGCACTTTCATCTTTTTGCCCTAAATTATACAAAAGGTTAATTTTTAAAATGAATCCCCTTTGTTGTGATAGATTTATTTTTTCCTCCTTCAAGCAAATTGTATTAACACATTAATCAAATGAATATATGAAATAGTCATCCACATTGGGACCATTACAAAAACCTGATGAGAAATTCAACAATTATACTCAAGGAACTTGAGTATAATTGAAAAATAACAAGGCTCCAGGCCCGGATGGTTTTACCGCCATCTTCTATAAAAAATTTAGAAATGAACTAAGCCCTCTATTATTACAAATATTAAATAATATATTAAAAGACAAAACAATTCCCAAATCATGGGAAAAAGCCAACATAACTCTAATACACAAAGAGGGCACAGATCCAACAGATATCAGAAATTTTCGTCCCATATCATTATTAAACAACGACTATAAAATATTCACCAGTATTATGGCCGAAAGACTAAAAACTTATTAAAGAATTGGATTTCTCAAGAACAAACAGGCTTTCTTCCCAATAGACAACTAAAAGACAATACACGGACAATTATAGATACAATCGAATATTACGAAAGGCATAATGAAAAACAGTTGGCATTATTATTTATTGATGCGGAGAAAGCATTTGATAAAATAAATTGGGATTATCTAAAATTATTACTTAAAGAAATAGATATTGGCCATAATTTCAGAAATGCGGTAGAAGCAGTTTACACCAGACAGGAAGCCACCTTAATCATAAATGGGCAGGAATCTAAAACACCAATTCAAATAAGTCAAGGAACGCGCCAAGGATGCCCCCTCTCACCATTATTATTTATATTAGTAATGGATACGCTGATAAGGAACATAAACGACGATCGGAAACTACATGGAATTAAAATTCGGAATCAACAATATAAACTCAAAGTTTACGCGGACGATGTAGTATGTATTGTAGAGGACCCCCTAAAAAACATTAATGATTGGTTAGAAAAAATTGAAGCCTTTGGGAAGTTAGCTGGCTTTAAACTCAATAAGCAAAAGACCAAGATGCTAGTTAAAAATATAAACAAAGAAAACAAAGAACTACTCCAGGAGAAATCTGGCCTAAAAATAGAAAATAAGGTAAAATATTTCAGGGTGACTATAACCCCAAACAACATAAATCTGCTAAAAAAACAATTATGAAATACTATGGAAAAACATACAAAAAGACATAGAGAGGTGGAAACATCAAAACCTCTCCCTTCTAGGCAGAATCGCCACAATCAAAATGGACATCCTACCTAAACTTCTTTTTCTTTTCCAAGCCTTGCCAATTATAAGGAATGACTATCTGTTCAAAAAATGGAATTCAGATTTGATCAAATTTATATGGAAAAATAAAAAAGCAAGAATCAGTTTCAAAATACTCACAGATGAAAGAAAAAGGGGAGGACTAGGACTTCCGGATCTTAAAATATACTACGAGGCCTGCAATTTGCTGGCAATAAAAGAATGGTCAACCCTAAAAAACCAAAAGCTCTTAATTCTGGAAAGTTTCGATCTGAGATTTGGCTGGCACGGGTACCTATGGTACGATAAGAGAAAGGTAGAGAAAAACTTTAATAATCACTACGTAAGGGCAGCCCTAATTAAAACCTGGGAGAAGTATAAACCAAGATTATTCGCTAAAGTACCGCTGTGGATCGCACCAATGGAAGCGAAACATAAGAGAGAACTAGGGAAAGATAATTGGTTGACATACAGGCAAATTCTAAAAACCACGAATGATAAACAATTAACTATAAAATCGATAGAGGAGATTAGACAGTTAAACAGTAAGTTCACATGGATGCAATACCATCAGCTATACCGAAACTTTAAAGATGATGAGAAGCAAGGTTTCTGCCAGGAACAAAATATTTGGGACATAGTAATGCAAAAAGAAAAGAAACTAATTAGAATAATATACAGGCAGTTATTGGGGTGGGCAACAGAAGAAGAACAAATTAAAGATTGCCAAGTAAAATGGGCAAAAGATTTGGGTCATAACATTCTTACAAAACAATGGGAGGAAATTTGGAACACTAAATTAAAATATACAGTAGCTACAGACCTAAAAGAAAATTGGCATAAAATGTTTTTTAGATGGTATTACTCTCCAGAGAAAATTGCCAAATTTAGCAAAACCGCCTCCAACAAGTGTTGGAAGTGTCAAAAAGAAATAGGGACATTCTACCACCAATGGTGGGGATGTAAAAAAATTAAGAAATACTGGAGAGAAATTCATTTAGCAGCACAAAAAATCCTAAAAACAAATTTTCCACAGCTCCCAGAAATGTACCTATTAGGCATATCCTATTCCAAATTTAATAAAAACCAGGAAAAAGTTCTCTTTCTGATCAGCACAGCGGCCAGGATACTGTTAGCCAAAATGTGGAAGCAAAAAGATACCCCGACAATAGAAGATTGGATTATAAAGACACTAGACATAATACAAATGGATTGTTTATCCAAACATTTAAACAATTCAACAAAAAGGACAGACTGGGAGGGTTTCAAAGACTTTATTAAAGAAAAAAAGATGACTATGATAATAGACATATCCAGCATCTGAAGAAAATCAATAGACGGAGACAGCGCCGGAAAAGTCATAGAAACACGGACGAAACCAACACCAGAAGGGAAAGGTTTCGCTTTGAAGACTTTGGGAAGTTCATCACATCGGGGGGGGGGGGGGGGAAGGGGGAGGGAGAGGGTGGGAAGGGGATAAGGGACTTTCTCTCTCTCTTCTTTTTTTCCCCCCACATATTCTTGCTCTATCTGACACTGCCTTCTATTTTGCCCTCCTTTTCTTTTTATTATGTAACATTAAAATTTGCACAATAAAAAAAATATATACTCAAGGAACCATCAGTTAACGAGAACCTCCTTTGCTCAAAATAACTGTAATATAATACAAAGCTATAAAATAATCAGCATTCTTCTGTATTGAGCAATCACTTAAGATTCTGCTTAGTGTTGTTTTATAAATTTATTTTAGTTTCCAGGACATAGGATGCCAACATGCTATATTTCTAGGGTACTTTCTTATTAAATGAATACATGCAGATTCCTGATGCATTACTGGCATACTTGAATTGACTCTTGTGAATGTGGAAGAGAGCAGTTCTGTTTTAGCCTTTCAGGTTTGGAAGGACTGTACTATGAGAAATAGTTGCTTTTCCCACCTGGTTGTAATTTTTAGTTTTATTTATGTACATGGATAAAATTATTCCGTATCAATAGATAAGAACTGATAGGAATAGCATCATAAAAGAAGCCATTGTGAGATAGCATTTACAGACTGATTTTGTGTCATCATATATGGTAACATTGTTTTGATTTTAAAAAGGCAAAAAGAAAACACGGTTGATTAAAAACTTGTAAAATGTTTTCTTTGAATTATTGCTTGTATGGAATAAATTGAGAACCAGTGTAGTGCAGCACTGGATTCAAATACCCACTTGAACATGGAGGCCCAATGGGAGATCTTGGGCAGGTCATATTCTCAGAGGAAGGCAGGGGTTGAATCCCCTTAAAAGAAATTCTGCCCAGAAAATCTTGGAATAGAATCGCCTTTTGATTATTGTAAGTCAGAAGGCAAAGAATGGGAACAATAAGAACAAGCCATGGGATTTCATCCCCAGTTTCTAATCTTAAGAGACATGTATGAGTACTTGTAGACTCAGTGTGAGCTAATTTTCATCTAACATGAATTTGAGATTGTTTTATCCATAAATTTTACAATTTAGCTTAATGTTTACAACAGTGGTTCCCAACCTGTGGTCCGTGGACCACCAGTGTCCCCAAGAACTAAAATATACTACGCAACCTCACCATTACTACACTTGCAATGAGAGTGACTGGTCTCGCAAAACCCTCCTATAGTGCTGAGGCATATTAAATATGATTTTCTGTGGACGAGTTGGTCAAAATTATCCTTGGTCAAAAAAAAAGTTGGGAACCACTGGTTTACAAGGATGAAGTGCACCACCAGTTACATGTTACATCAAGGTATTTCCTGGTGTGTTTCACAGTGTCCTACAATGTTGTTCTCATCATTGTAGAATTAATTGGTTGAGTAAAGGAAACCTCTTGGCTCTGTTCCAACAGGTATTGCAATATGTTTGAAGAGGATCTATGCCTAGAGATGTACATATGTGGTTATCTGATTTATGATATGCATTCACTTAAATGTTGCTGTAAATCCAGCAGTACTATATCCCATTGCTTGGTGGCACATTGCTTTAAGCATTATACCATTTTACAGGTGATAATAGTTTTAATAGCCTTGGGAGGAGAGCAATGACCAATCTCGATAAAATAGTTAAGAGTAGAGACATCACACTGGCAATGACGGTCCGCATAGTTAAAGCATAGGTTAAATTAACCTATGGATGCGAGAGCTGGACCATACAGAAGTCTGAGTGAAGGAATATAGATGCTTTTGAACTGTGGTGTTGGAGGAAAATTCTGAGAGTACCTTGTACCGCAAGAAGATCAAACCAATCTATACTCCATGAAATAATTCCCAATTGCTCACTGGAGGGAAGGATATTGAAGGCAAAGATGAAGTACCTTGGACACATAATGAGATGACAGGATACCTTGGAGAAGATAATGATGCTGGGGATGGCGACAGCCGACAAGAAACTCTGGCGTGGGCTGATCCACGAGGTCCCGAAGAGTCGGAAGCGACTGAACAAATAAACAACAAAAATAGTTTTAATGTAGTCAAAGGGATACGGTCCTAGAAGCAGAGCTGTAGTGCTGTCCCTCCTTTTGCTGGGAGGTAACCTGCCTCCCCCCCCCCCCCCCCCCCCCCCCCCCCCCCGGATTAAACAAGAGTTCTTTACTTCAGGGTTGGCAGTGGGCATGACAAAGAATTTCAGTTGCCCTAACAACACTTAAGCAATTCAGGCACAATGCATTCAGTTCTGATGGCTACATAAGGTTCAATGCATCAAAGTCAGAACTACCGCAACCTAGAAATAGTAAAATAACACACAACAAACTAATATTTTGACTACATGCTTTGTTATAGAATCCTAGAAAGCCTGTAATTTGTTTCTTTGCTTTCTCTATTGTGCAGGGATTGCCAAGCCATTATTTTTGTTATTGATAGCAGTGACAAACTAAGAATGGTTGTGGCCAAAGAAGAGCTTGACACACTCATGAATCATCCAGGTGAGGAGACCCTTTATCTTTTAACTCAGTCCTATTCCTACTATCCATTTTCAGTTTAAAATGTGTCTTTTGGTGTGAAGTCTGTATCTGTATATAGAGAAGTTCATTTGCTTTTCCTTCAGTAAGTATAAACTAAGGCCTCTTCTACACTGCCATGTAATCCAGACTATGAAAGCACATAATCCCCATTATCTACTTTGAACTGGATTATCTGTCTTCACTGTGATATAATCCAGTTTAAATCAGATAATCTGGATTTTATATGGCAGTGTAGAAGGGGCCTAAAATAAAGGATTTTCTAGTTAGTTTCAGGGAAAAGTACAATGTGTTGGTTTTGATCTTTAAAGTCCTATTATTATTATTATTATTATTATTATTATTATTATTATTATTACCCCACTTTATCTTCCCAAAGTGGACTCAACATGGCTTGACATAAAAGCATTAGTATACAATTTAATATATATAAATATGCAAAAATTAAAATAGAATTAAACACAAACAACACTAAAAAAATTCACAGTTGAAACCCATCAAAACAGTTAATAACTACAGCACCACCTGACTAGATTTGAGGGTCCTTCCACACAGCCATATAACCCAGAATATCAAGGCAGAAAATCCCACAGTATTTGCTTTGAACTGGGTTATCTGAGTCCACACTGCCATGTATTCTAGTTCAAAGCAGAAAAAGTAGGATTTTCTTCAGCTGTGTGGAAAGGGCCTTAAACACTTTAATATTTAAAAGCCTGTCTGAATAAAAAGGTTTTAGCCTGCAGCCAGAAGGACAGTGGGTAGGACGTCATTCTGGCTTTCCTGGGTCCAGGTTACCCATATGGTTTGGGTCCAGGCTACCCCCAGGATCACTTTCTCCTATACAATCTGCCCCACACACATAGGTCCTCTGGGGGATGGCTGCTCCAGCCACCAGAATCCGAATGGTGACCATCACCCAGATGACTTTTTCATTTGCTGCCCCAAGACTGGAATGATCTTCTGAAAGAGCTGCGACAGTTAGATCACACAATTAAAGACCCATCTCTTTTGGCAGGCCTATCTGGTCAATTTTAAATTGTGAATTTTAATCTGCATTTCATTAGTGGATTTTAACTGTGTATCTTGTTGTACATCTTTTAATAATGTTTTATCTCTTATTTTACTGATGTTGTTTCCCGCCTTGAGTCACAGGGAGAGGCGGATAATACATTCGTTGTTGTTATTATTGTTATTACTGCTACTACTACTGAATTGTACAAATATAATTGTATGGGTAATTCATGACCCTCCATGTTGGGGGTCCCCAAACTAAGGCCCATGGGCAGGATGCAGCCCTCCAAGGTCATTTACCCAGCCCCCGCCCTAAACTTTAGACTCAGAGTCACTTAAGTTGGAAATGACTTGAAGGCATACAACAACAATCCTACTTAACTTGAGTATCTCATCAGTCAAAAGCAGGCCCACACTTCCCATTGAAATACTGGTAAGTTTATGTTGGTTAAAATTGTTCTTTCATGGATTTTTTGCACTATCAGTGAGATATGTGCAGTGTGTATAGGAATTCGTTCATTTTTTTTCATACTGTAGTCTGGCCCCCCAACACTCTGAGGGACCGCGAATCAGGCCTTGGCTTAAAAAGTTTGAGGACCCCTGCTCTAGGTGTTAGGGAATAACAACTCCCGTTGTTTCTCACCATTGCCTACATCGTCTTACGATTTATAAAAGTTGCATTCTAGTCACATCTGGAGACCACATGTTGTCCACTTTTATAATATTTATCTATCAATTGGAGTACCATTATTATGTAACTGAATTCAAAATGAAAACAATTCAGTCAGTTTGTTTAAGAAATAAAGATATTCAGTGAACCTGCATTGAATCACACAAACCTCTATCCATTTAAGGTTAACCACATTGCACCAACCATGTTCAAGTTAAATGGAGGAATCAACCCTTAAATATGCTGGAAATTCTCAATTCGGACTTAATTCTCAGGTCTTTCCTAAATTCGGTTTTTTGATACCAGTCTATCTGTGTGATGTTCTCCCATAACTGAGCAAAAGTAGCTATGCAAACTCAATCATTTTTTTAATTATAAGTTACTTTGACCTCCATAATTAGTTTGGCTAGTTCATTCATATTGTTATCCTTTCATTGTGTATACATTTTGTTGCGGAGCTATAGTTCCTACATATTTTCTTGCAGCTGACAATATTTTTCTTGAATAGAAAAGTTACGATGATGCAAGCAAACATTTGAACATACATCCTTAATTATTTATTATTTTTTACTTCATTTCTACCCCGCCTTTCTTGACCTGAGAGGGGACTCAAGGCGGCTTACAAATCAGGCAAACATTCAATGCCGCACAAGTAACAATAAAACACATCTCATAAAAATTTAAACTATCTAAGCGTATAAAAAATTACAACTCATACCAATCTATCAAACAGATTAAAAACCACATATAATATATGGTCATGGTCTCTG